ATATACCAGTGCAATATAAATGTTATCGTATTGGCAAAGCTTGGAAACTGACACAGAACATTCGACTGTTGTGTCAGTAGGTGAATATTTATGTATACCCGTTTGGTCAAGAAGATGTTGCTCTTAGATCAGATAATATGGCGTCACCCAAGGCATTACTGAGCGTAAAGTTTCCTCTATTCAAATCGAATGTTCGACCCTGAGTAACAACAAATAGTGCAGCTCAGACACCCAGTCGCATTGGCCGATTGAATGGCATCAGAATTAACACTAGTCCAGTGCGGTAGTCGGGGTTTCTAGAAACTTATTGCGTGTCTGAGAAATTCTTCGCTTTATCGAACTTTAATAATCAAATAAGCGACTAAATCACGATATTGTTGTGAAAGACACGGACAGTAGTACATCGTGCATATACCGGTGCGTATTGCGTCAATCTTTTAATTATTTTTTATTACAGCCATAGGCTACTATCTTCCTAGTATTCACTAGGATAGATAAAGGGTCATAGTAGATCACGAATAGCGAGTCGGGCATAAGAGGTAACGGGTGATTCAGCGATATACAACAAACGTTGACTTTTTTCGGAGACTCGTTTTTCATTGAACTCAGAAAACATACCAATGGTGTGCTTTAACGGTGAGTATGTACAGTGGTTCTCGTTTGGTGACGTCGGTGTTGCTAGTAAATTTCATATACCCTATTGTGCTGACTGTGGAAAGTATAGAATTGCATTATAGAAGAGTCGGAAACTTGAATTATACACACAGAAGGTAGCAAGGGATGAGCAAGCAATGCTTACCTTGACATTTAACTGTAGCTGCCTATTTTTATTTGTATTTATCATAAGCGTTCTGTCCATGCTGCCGGGCTAGACGCATGATAGATCTGTCCGGTACAGTCAAACTCGTCCGAAATTCGGAAGACTGTTAATTCCTCATCAATAGACCTTTCCTATAAGCAGCTGATGTAATCTGGTTATACGATGGCTGGTAGCTGGAAACACCTCAACAGTATAGTATATTATGAAATCTACATCGGTTTATACATTTGTGTACGTTGCAGCTACACTTACTGACCACGGTTCTTCAAGCTGCTGATAGCAGTATTTTGTTGGGACCTAATTTGATGAATCTCAACTACATAGTAACCTAGGCGTACTAAGGCACGCCTTCACTTTCGGTTCTTAGTTCAATATTGTCAACAGTGAAATAAGCCAACGCAATTGGCGCGACCTAATCGGATTTACTACATTAGTTTTTATTGGTTTTAGCTGATATCTTGAAAGCTGAGGGACACCGTTTTGCCATGCAATTGCGAACCAGATGTGCCTTGCCTCGAGAGCAGGTCATATGTGTTAAGGATCTCTACCCTGACACCGATGTCAAGTATTATCCCGCTTGTACGCTTTTACACAGGTGAGGCAAGAACTTCCTAAAAGCCTACCACATTGCTCCCAAATAAAACGGCACGCAGAAAACTATGTCAATCCATGACTCCTTGAAGGTAGCTTGTCTATTAAAAAGAGAGTGTGACATATTCGAGACTGATTGCATGGTTTTGTCTTAGATAAGGTTCGTACGCCACTGTGAGAAACATTAGTTGATTACCAATCGGCTCACGCAGTTGCCGATAACTGGCAATTCACTATAATCTTAGATTTGGCAAACGTTCCTCGGAATTATTTCAGATGTGACGCCTCAACTGGTTGCTGCGAAGACCCAACAGAAAGTTGTCAAACACACTTCAGTGAACAGATTGTCCTGTACTTCAGATCAAATATCGATTCTGAAGTGCTCAAACTCCCATTTACTAACCACACGTCTTGCAGGTGCAGTCAAAAACGCAGCCATTCATACGACGAGACGCCGAGTTCAATCACGAAAGCTGAAGACGAGGATGACTACAGCCCAGAGGAAGACGACGCCGAAGAGAACATTCTCGGGAATTGTCCGCGATGCCCGAAACCGTTCAACAAGCGGCTGGTTCGCGGAGTGTGTGATTGTGATTGCTTTGATAACGACGAGGTATGTCTGGCTATAAAACGGGGCAACGAGGCATTGACAAACGCGGAGCGGAGATGCATTTCCAGTCGAGTGTGCCAAAAGCCTCGCTGTGATAAAGGCACTCATTTTAATGTTGACCTCGGTGAGTGCCGGAAGTTCATCGAGGAAAACAATATCGACGATCATCTTTACGACAATGACGAATCTGATGCCAATGATGATGACGATGATTCAGAGGAGCAGAACCAGCAACAGCTTGACGAAGGTGACCCTCATCCCGGCAAAGCAAAGTGTGACCATCGAAAGGATAATTAGATTGGTTAGAACGTGATCCAGTGATAGCTCGGGGACTCAAGGCCGACGACCAATCGCAAACCTAATGAGTTGAAGCGCGTACACATCTCTAAAGGCGTCTTTTTTGAAAGCAACTTGCTGGATTGATACTTTCACAGGATATAGCAGATGACCGTAATCCTGGGATAGATAGAAATGAACAATTTGGGGTTCATATATATATATATGTACCTCTTATCGAGCTAAGCTTTATTTATATTTATGTCGAAAAAAATATGACGCGGTAATATTAGTGTAATGAGAATATCAAACGGTTTGAATGTTTTAATTTTAGTTTCACTTCGTGGTACGTATGGAGTTCATCGTAAATGAGGTCTTGCAATAAATGTTTTTATTTGGTAAACATTTCATGTAAATTAAGCCTTATTTCGCATCTTAACTGGCGTTAATTATTCATAAGGTAGGCGTATGAACTAGATTCAGAGACTACATCTATATTTACGTAGATTTTTGCATAAACTGCGCGTGCTTCGGCAGGCCTAAAAGACAGCATGTCAACTTACCAAGTAACGCTTTTCGATAAGAAGAAGTTGTATTCTCCAAATTGCTACTGACATGCGCTGTTTGCCCTCGTTGTTTTCATGATGACGACCACAGTTATTGGGGCGGGGGTGCGGTGGCACAAGGGATGCGTTAGCTTGGCAGCTTGGCAGTGAATACAGGCAGTTCCTTGTTCACGTTTGCGCTTGAGTATTGACGAACGAGTGTCTTATCGTAGAAGACGCCGAACAGCAACACACAAACAGACTTTGGCTACTTCCAAAAGTTTCTCAGCGGGACCTTCCTTTTGATTCTGCCTAATGGGATCAGCGATGGTCAATCGCTGCCATGACAACAATCATTTTTTCACTCATTATTTCGTTACTTAACACGTTTGCATAAAAGAGAGGGCAACAATATTAGCAAACTTTCGTGGTGTAGAATTAGCAGTTGACACTTCTCCGAATATAACAACTAGTTTACCTCAGTATCCCTTGCGAGCATCTATTAGCATCCTTAGCTTTTTTTTTGCTAACTAGAACTTATTGAGCAAAACATTCTTAACCGGCGTAAATTTTGATGGTAATAGCCATTGCTGTAATGTTACAGGGTAAATATTCGTACAACTGACCACCATTTACTTAAGTTTCCCAACTTTTTTTTTTTAGCGAGTTTAATAATTTTGGAGACTTAGCGTCGAATTTCTCTAGAGCGGCGTTCAATGCAGCCAAGTCTGCAGGTGTCGGCCTTCTGCCCGTCTAGATATCTGAATGACGCCAAGGGAACGGGTGCGAGTTATTTGATGTTAACATTTTTTTTTAATTATAAAGTCGTATTGATCTGCTTGCTTCATAGTAGCCATTAATGTTTATGCCGCTCTAGGGTTGCCGTTCTCTGCCGACGGTAAGGTTTTTGCTCTCTGCTTTGCCTTTCCCAGGACACAAACAATTATGTCCTCGTAGCAGGCAAAATGACACCGAAGAGACGTATATAGTAAAATGGTTATTACTAAAGCGGTTAATCTAGCATCTTTCCGAAACGAATTTGTTGCCTAAGGATGATTCATATTTTCTGAATACCGTTAAATTTGGAAAAGCAAGGTAAGACACAAGCTCAGCAAGAGGCGTATTTGTAATGGGGATCGAACTTTATGGAACGATCGATCTCTCAATTGTAAAAGCTATTGATAATGCAGTCTGTAAATATTAGTGTAAGCTCTAATTTGATTATTATTAAGCAACTAGGTATCAACAGTAATGATCACCATCCTTTAATTGTCGATAGACTCTGTGCGTCTTAGTTTAAGCTGTTTATCGCGTGTCAGTTCTATGTATATAATAGGACTCAATCAATATAAATATTTGTGTTGACCAAAACACCGCTTGAAAATAATGAGTAATAGAAAACATTAGCGATGCTAAGCCTAGTTAAGGCCATCACTGAAAATCAAACACCATAAAAGAGAAGTTTGATTTAATGGCCGTGAAGTTAAAAAGGGAATATTCGCTGATTCACGCCATAGCGGAGTGGCTAACGCGCCTATTAATTTAGAGATAGATACGTTGTATTCGAGTCAATGCCTAACAGTTTAAGGACCAGACGCAAAACATGAACAAATTTCAGGACGTTCAACGTGTAACGAATTTCTACCTGAAAATTTGTGCGTCGTTTTTCAAACGAAGATTAGCAGTTATCCGGTTCTCTCTAACTTGACAAAATCTCCTCGATATCAACCGTCCAAAATCGATGGTCCACACTGTTGGCAGTTTTGATGCGATTTCAGGAAAATCTAGGAACGATTTCCGTGAAACCGATCCGAGGATTCAAAGTGCGCGCTTAAAATTGAATCAAAAGGATCCAAGAACCTGTCTGAATACAGAACTGAGCGGCTGATTTGAAAAGAAAAATATGAATTCGTTCGTTCAGATAAACTGTGGCGATTAATTGTTTCGGAACTCTTTAAATGACAATCCAGGATACGCAGGAAACTTTGCAGGATTCTTTGTTTTTCTATAGGTACAATCTTACGAACGAATAGAGTATTACAAATCCGGATTTATACATATATATTGTCTTCAGATCGTTGCGGTGTCGGCCGATGCCGTTCGGATGGTGCATAGACATAAGTATTTCTACTTTTCGGATACGTTCTACTAAACCCTCTGCAAGAACAGTCTGAGCAGTGTAGGCATTCTGTGGGAATAAGGTTTGGAAATTTCAGGCACATCATAGTGAGTAAAACGAACTATATATGTAGTTGCAGAAACTCATCAAACTAACCTAATAAAATATAGCTGTTAACCACGGTGATAATTAGCACCAGATTATAGCGATCGATTGTATTTTTAGCTACTGCTTTAATGGATCTTTTGCGATGATTTCAATAATATGTATTGAATCTGCTGTAGCGTAACAACTCAGGTATGGTCCAAGTACAAAGCTTCACACGTCTCGTAGTTGTTCTTTGTCGTCTCAATGTTGCACCTATACCTAGATAGACAGATAGATCAACGCGTTCATGTTTTCGTCGATCACTTATAAAAATAGCGTCAAGTTCTTAGAGAAACGATAAAATTCACTATTTGGTTAAAATATAAACAATGTTTTCAACTTAATGCTATACGTATTGGTATTCCGTCGTTGAACCAGACCTGACAAGGTGCTAAGAGCAGCTTCGAACAAACGGGGCATCTATGTGCTACAGACGAATGAAATAAAAACATGATACTAGACCCCAACACAAGTGAGGTATGAATCACAAAGCAAAATATTTACGCTTCCTACGAAGTAACAGGTGTCAAGAGCGATTTAAGAGGCTTAATCTCATCTCAACCCGTATCTTAACCCCGTTTCAGGGTACGCTTTCAGTCGCCGAGACTGATCTGTTTACCCCTGTTGCTGATTTTACACAGACTGACCACTGAGAAAAAGCATCAATAAGGCAACTATGGAGAGACGAGAAAACAGATCAAACGACCAGCTGCATCTTCATCGTGTCTCGAATAAATTAATGCATACAGTCTTCAGAGTAGATAGTCGGAAGTGTTAATGGTTCGGAAGCGCGCAAAGCAAACGATGGCAACTGTGTGACAAGGAACCCTGCTAAACGCGCGGCGTGTTTAGGTCATAAAAAAATAGAGACTTATTGGTTAGGCACGCGTTTCTAATGGCTAGACCCAGAAAGACTGCTAGAAATAGATTTGGAAGGCTTAAATATTTCATTTTGCAAAACCAATCTCCAGACAATGCGTAGCTCAAGCCTGATAATCGCCTGAAATAGGACTGCCATTTATTGATAATTAAACCATTCAATACCTGCCGCGCCAGATACCGGAAAAGCTCTGCTTGTGCAGCCGTTAACCTGTCTAGTATGTTATGCTCTGAAGTTCTTTTCAATATATAATAGTGTTTACGTGAAGACGAACCTCTATTGTTTCACCTCACCGTGTCGATATGAATAATATCGACGTAATACTGATTAGATACTATTCAGTGTACTTATACAGCTCAAAGACAAATCAACGCGTGTTTATTAAAAACTACAAAAAAAAATTGTCTTCGCTCTTGTTTTAAGGACCAATAAGCGATATCGCCAACTTATGTTGTATATACATACATAAAGACGATGACGACGAAAAAATTCCATCGGTATACCTACTCTGTTATTGAAATCTATCACGGAAGCAAATGCCTTCTAGAGAAGCAATCAATATCGGAGCCTATTGCAACGATCTGTAATCGGCCCGAGCTAGAAAACAGTATTTTTGTCAACAATGACCATTTTTTGCTTTTGCGGAAATACGATTTATGAGCAGTCTACCTGAAGGAATTGTGTGCGACTCATATTATTGCAAGTCTGTGCAGGGTCCTGTCAGCAGTTGCATGAAAATTTCCACCAAATCAATTAATCAATGCGCTAAGCTTATGCATCCTCTACTTTTATTATTGATGTCATCGTAGTGGACTCAAAGGCTAGAGCCACAGCCGCTTTATCTCTAAGCCTCATTGGAAGGCCTGCTTAGTCAGTGTCCTAAGTAGTATTTCTTACAGATCGTACTGTAAGATACCACTACGGGCGTTTGTCTAGCACCTACGTAGCTTGCATTGATTAAAGCGATTATGCTGTGTAGAATATTACTGATGACCTCTTCATATCTGCGGAGAAAGCTACAGATGGCTTATACAACTTATGTCATTGTTCTGTTTTCAAAGAGTAAAATATCAAGAAAACAGAGTTTTATAGCTTGCTTGTTCATTTAAACAATTCAGAGCAACTTTACGAGCCAAGTGTAATGGGGTCATTTGCAGTTTCTGTCTGTTTCAACATGCAGGTAAACATGGCAATAGGAGCAGAAGTTTTGCGTATAAAGCTAGCTGGAATCAGCATCGTCGTTCGCTACATCGTTCTCACTGCCAAATGCTTACACTTTAGCAGGGCCGAAATGCGAAGAAGCTGTCACGTCAATTACCATCAGATTATTTTAAATTTGACCGTACAACTTAGAACGTATTCTATACTGTATATGTTTTTTTGACAAATTTAATTGTTGCCGTGAAATAAGTAATTAAAGCATAGTATGTGTCTTACGCCGAGCCCCTGAATTAAAGAGAAATTCAAAGGAAACCAGCTTCTTACCAAAGATGAAAAGACCAGGGCAAGACCCACCTAACTTTTGTGTCGCACATATTTTTGCTAAGACAAACACAACTGGAGTAGCCACACCATCCTAGTCACTCGTGTGCATATGCTACTGTATTTTTTCTAGGGCAGTATCGCTCTCAGTGAGCCCGGTATCGGCTGAAGCTGAACAGTGGAATCTAAATTGTCTCTCTACTACAGATATTTAAATGTGTACTTTACACATAA